CCTCCCCTTCCCTCCTCCCTCCTTGCCCCTTCCCTCTCCCTCCTGCCCTCCTCTCTCCCCCTCCCCCTCCCCCTCAGCATAGCCTCTTCATGTTACAGATCATTCTTGTGAGCTCCCCTCTCAGTGACCGCGACCAGTGTCTCTTCCTCAGCACTGATGAGGGGGCCAGCTTCCAGAAGCAGCTCATTCCTTTCTCCGTGGAGACGCTGACGTTCCACCCCAAGGAGGAGGACAAGGTCCTCGCGTACACCAAGGAGGGCAAGGTGAGGCCATGCGGGGACCACCTGGTCACGTCTGGGCACCTGGCCCCCCTGCTGCAGGTGGGTGGGTTCCAATCCATTTTAGGAGGGAGGGAAATAGACTCTGGAATAAGGTAAAGGTGGGGTGGCCGACCCCTCACGTCGCTGAGCCCCACCCTGGTCCCCTTCGCTAGGCACTTGTCACATCAAGGGTGGTAAGTCACAGCCGGCACTGGGAATCACGGGCCAGCCACGATGACACGCCTTGTGTTGCTGTTGTGTGTGTCGTGAAGTCACTTCCACCCAGGACCTCGTGTACATGACACAAAACCCTGCCCAGTCCTGTGCTGTCCTCTCAGTCGGCTGGGCGCGCTATCCCTTCCAGTCACTGTGTCAGCCCGTTTCAGTGAAGGTCTTTCTTTCTTTGACTGACCCTCCACTTTTTCAAGCATGATGCCCTCCTCCAGGGCTGTCAGCCCCTCTGACAGCATGTCCACAGTGCGTGAAGCCTGCCCCTCTGATAGCGTGTCCACAGTACATGAAACCTGCCCCTCTGACAGCGTGTCCACAGTGCGTGAAGCCTGTCACCATCCTAGCTGCTAAGAAACACTTGGCTGTACTTCCTCTCGGGTAGAGGTGTGAGTTCCGGCAGTCCATGGTCAATGTTCTCCAGCACCGCAGTTCAAAGGCATCCATTCCTGTCTGGTCTTCCTTATTTCTGTCCAGATTTTATGCATATGAAGTTGTTGTTATGTGCTGTCAAGTTGCCTGCGACCCACAGCGACCCTATGTACGGCAGCTCTGAACCCTACCCTGTTCTGAGCCAGTCTCACTAATTCCGACACAACCCCCATTGCCCCAGTCCATCTCATCCAGGGTCTTCCTCTCCTGCGCTCCCCCTCCACCCTTCCAAGCATGATGTCCTTCTCCAAGGACTGGTTGCTCCTGGCCACATGCCCAAAGGATGTGAGACAGAGCTTCAAAATCCTAGCCTCCAAGGAGAAACTTGGTTTCACCCTCTTGAGGACAGGCCTATTTGTTTTCTTGGTGGTCCATGGGATGTTCAAGACTCTTCTCCAGCATCAGAATTAGAAGGCATTGATTCTTCTTCCATCATCCTTAGTCATTGTCTAGCTCTCTGAAGTGTAACAAGTAATTGGAAGATCATGACCTAGATTAGGTGCGCCTTAGTCTCTAGACTGGCATCATTGCTCTTCAGCACTCTGGAGAGGTCTCTGGCAGCAGACTTTCCCAGTGCAATTCATCTTTTCATTTCCTGACTGCTGGTGTTAAACGTGTTGGTTGTGGAGCCGAGCAAGCTGTAATTCTTAACAACCTCATTCTCTTCTCCACCTGTCATGATGCTGTCAGTTGGCCCAGTGGTGAGAATCTTTGTTTTCTTGATGTTGAGCGTCAATCCACGTTGAAGACTACAGTCCTTGATCTTCTGCAGCAAGTGCTTCAGGTCCTCAGTTTCAGCAGAGTTGTGTCATCTGCACAGCATGGGTTGTGGAGGAGTCTACCTCCAATTTTGACGCCACATTCCTCCTCATAAAGCCCAGCCTCCTGAATGCTTTGTTCTGCATATAGATTGAAAAGGTATGGAAACAGGATGCATCCCTGACACACTCCTTTCCTGATTTTGAACCACGCAGTGAGGCAACTGAAAATATCGTGGCGTATGAGAGGCATACCTCTGTCTCTGACCTTCAGTGCAGTAAAGAAAACAAAAATTCCCAGCACTGGATGAATAAACATCGTGAAAGATGGAAGAGAGAGTGACATTGTCAGGGCTTACTTTACGTGAATCCACAATCAGTGCCCCCAGGAGCAGCCATCAAGAAAATGGGCAGCAATGAATGAATGAAAATCCAACTTCTGTATAAATGTTCGTTAAAATCACTATTAAAAGAAAATTTTATTTAAAAAATTTCCAAAAACATTTTCTGTCTATTTATGATCAGAGAATTAGGAGACATCTCATAGTGCAGTTACAGATGACTTATTGAAAAAGAAAATGAAGAGAAAAAACATATAAAGAAATTCACATGAAATGCATGTGTTTTGAGGCAACACATTTTGGTCAGTGGGAGTGCCCAGCTATGTCCAGCTGCCAGGACAAGTCCACACAGAGCTCTGCTGGCCACGTGGCTCACTGACATACCTTTCCAAGTAGAACTCCTCTTACCGTCCTCCTGACCCTTGCCCCTTTGTCCCTGGCCTGGATCTGATGTCTCCCCTGCTTGATGTCTCCCTCTGAGCACAGCTGTGTGTGTGTGTGTGTGTGTGTGTGGTGTGCTGACTTTCTGGGACATGTGACCCAGAAGCAACTGGAATAATTCCTCGGGCGGCCGGTGCTGCTGGTGCCTTGGGCACTTCAGTGCATCTGTTCCTGTTTATTTGCTGGTGTTTGTCTTTTATGAATCAGAAGTGGCCACTCTGCAGCAGCAGTGGTGAACTGTAAAATTGTCCCCTGGGAGAGCAGATTGGGAAGGGTCACAGAGTCCTCACAAGCATCAAAAGTTGGTCAGTGAGGACAGTGGTCACTCGTCAGCAAAGGGCCTGGCCCTGGCTGCCAGAATCAAGGGCAGCAAAGCCGATTCTGACTCTCTGATGGCCAAGCAGACCGGCCAGCAGTGAGCACCCAGTCGACAGATGGATGCAGAGACAGGAGACGGAGGGCCTGGTAGAGCCCTGCAGGTGACCTGAGGGAGGGCTGGAGGCTTCTGGGATTTGGCTGTGAGCTCTGGCCCTCGAGGTGGACTTGCTTTCCCACGGAGGCTGTGTGACCTCAAGTGGCTTCCTCTGCCTCAACGGACATCCTTTCCTTCATCTGCACTTGAGGAGAGGACTCGGTTTATGGTGTAGGGGGATGTGCTCATGTGGACACACCTGAATGAGTGTATGTGTTGGTGGATGTGTGTGAGCACACGTGTGAGGTGGGTGCATGCCTGTAGCCTGTGCCAAAGCACACACCTGTGAACATATGTGTGCCTGTGGTCTTTGTGTGCACATATGGGAGTGTGTATGTGCCTGTGTGTCTGTGTATTTACACACCTGTGAGTGTGTGTGCGTGCCTGTGGTCTGTGTGTGAACACCTCTGAGTGTGTGCGTGCCTGTGGTCAGTGCACACATGTGTGTGTGCATGCCTGAGGTCTGTGTGTGAACACTTGTGAGTGTATGTGCATGTCAGTGGTCCGTGTGTGTGCACACCTGTGAGTGTGTGTGCATGCCTGTGGTCTGTGTGTGAGCACCTGTGAGTGTGTGCATGCCTGAGGTCTGTGTGTGCACACCTGTGTGCGTGCGTGCATGCCTGTGGTCTGTGTGTGAGCACCTGTGAGTGTGTGTGCATGCCTGTGGTCTGTGTGTGAACACCTCTGAGTGTGTGCATGCCTGTGGTCTGTGTGTGAACACCTGTGTGTGTGTGTGTGCGCGCACGCGCGCATGCCTGTGGTCCATGTGTGAACATCTGTGAGTGTGCATGCCTGTGGTCTGTGTGTGAGCACCTGTGAGTGTGCGTGTATGGCAGTGGTCCATGTGTGAATACCTGTGAGTGTGTGTGCATGCCTGTGGTCTGTGTGCATATGTGTGTGTGCATGCCTGTGGTCTGTGTGCATGCCTGTGGTCTGTGTGCACACATGTGTGTATGCCTGTGTTCTGTGTGTGAACACCTGTGAGTGTGCATGCCTGTGGTCCATGAGTGCACACTTGTGTGTGTGTGTGCACACATGTCTGTGCACACCTGTGAATGTGTGAGCACATGCCTGTGGCCTGTGTATGCACACCTATGAGTGTATGTGTGTGTGTGTTCTGTACACATCTGTGAGGGTGTTTTTATCTCTGTCATCTCTGTGTGCACACCCCTGTGAGTGTGCACGCGTGCCTGTGGTCTGTGTGTTTGTGCACAGCTTTCTGAGTGTGTATGCATGCTTGCCATCTGTCACCAGTACATGTTTCTGTACTGGTGGCTGTTCATGCACAGTGCATGCATGCCTGTGTGTGTGTCTGTACATGTGTGCACACATGTTCCTGTGAGGGCTGACCTGGGAACAGACTCCATCCCACAGTTAGAAGTGCATCTGTCCTGGCCTGGTCTCCTCCCTCCACCTGTCATCCTTTGTACACGCTGCTCTCTGCTCTGGGGTCTGACCCTCCCCTGCCTGTTCAGAGTCCCTCCTGCAGTTGAGGGTCAGTCACACCTGGCCCTGTACCTCAGTTAGGAATTTCTCTCCTGTGTAAGCTCTTAGCTGTCCCAGCCACACTAGACCAGGAATCCTTCTTTGCACAGTTCCGTGATGGCCTCGGGCCATGTATGTGCTGGGTGTGTTCCAGGTGGATGTTCAGGGTCCATGTGTGTGGACTGAGTGCTTGGTATATCTGCTGAGTGTGCATGCTGAGTGTGTGTGTGTACTGGGTGCACGTGTGTGTGTGTGTGTGTGTGTGTACGTACGTGTGCACACGTTGGGTGTGCATGCTGGTTATGTGTGCTGGGTGTGTGTACCAGTACCAGATTCAGTACCAGTGATTCATGTATATCCCGGTGCTGGATGTGTGTACCAGTGCATGTGCCTGTGTGTGCACCAGTGCTGGGTGTGTATACTGGGGGTGTGTACAGATGTGTGTGCAGCACTGTCTGTATGGGTCCATGTGCGTGCTCATGCCAGAGCTGAGTGGGGCTGACGCTCCACGCGGGGTGGGTGTGGTGACCTCCCTGTCCTCATGTCACCACCACACCCTGTCTCTTCACTCTGAAGCTCTATGTGTCGTTGGACTTGGGGAGGAAGTGGACACTCTTACAGGAGCATGTGACCAAGGACCATGTGTTCTGGTAAGACCCTTGGGGACCTCCGAGGGGCAGGTCAGCTTTTCAGTGACCCTTCTTTCACGTGTCCCCCTTGTTTCCTGCTTCTGCCCTGCTCAGAACCTTTCCTGGGGGACATCCAGAGCCATTTATCTGCTTGGCCCAGGTGGACAGGACAGGGTTTGCGCCTTCCCACCATGTTGGCATTCTGTGGCTTTGTACCATGAGGCCACATCCCCGAATCGCTGCTTCCTCCTGACAGACTGGGAGTGTCCAGGCCACTCTTCCTGTGTTGGGCACTGTGCTGTCCATTCTCTAGCCCTCAAGCTGCTCACAGCTGCACCACGCTGCACCCTGGGGCCCCTCCTGGGCTCAGCCTCAGCCCCACAGGTGTCCTCCCCTCGGAAGGAACCCAATGCAGGGGAAGGTAGGGGTGGTGTACCTGGGCTAAAAGCCGGGAGCCAGCCAGCCACCACCCAGCCCTATCCTGGGATCCTGTGGTCCCCCTCAAACAAGCATCTCCAGCCTCTGGTGCCCGTGGGGGCCTCAGGCTTAAGACATGCACACACTGTCTGTGCACAGTCACTCAGGCTTGCTCAAATTCACGTCCTTTCTCCCTCTGACCTCTCATGCACACCCTCACCTCCATCCATGAGTGCTCCCCACCTGTGAGTGCTCCCCACGGTCTCAATGCCCCATGAGTGCTCCCTAAAGCCTAAGCCCCCCACCAGTGAGTGCTCTCCACAGCCTCGGCCCCCTTTGCTGTGCGTGCTCCCCACAGTCTAAGCCCCCCACCAGTGAGTGCTCCTCACAGCCTCAGCCCCCCTGCTGTGAGTGCTCCCCATGACCTCAGCCCCTCACCTCTGAGTGCTCTCCATGGCGTCAGCCCACCTTCCACCTGTCAGTGTTCACCATGCTGTCAGCCCACCCTCCACCTCTCAGTGCTCCCCATGCCTTCAGCCCACCTCCCCCAGCCCCAGGGCCCCTGCATCCCCACATAACCTAGGGGTCTCTCTGGAACGGCTGTCTCTCCATCTGTTTTCCGGATGAGGTGGTCCTGTTGGAGAGAGCTGGCCACTTTGGGAAGGGCAGTGATGTCCTTTCTGACTCTGCCTCTTGTGCTCCCCAGGGCTGTGGCAGGAGTGGACAGAGACACTGACCTGGTCCACATGGAGGCCCAGGACCCTGGAGGAGGTAAGCCAGGTGGGCATGGCACCTGCTCTTTAGCCCCTCCCCAGGTGGGCTCATCAGTGCCCCCTCCCAGGGGCCCCTCCCCAGGCAGGCCCAATGGCACCCCTCAGTGGCTGCCCCCAGCCCCTTGCAGTACTCTGAGTGGTGTGGCTGGGGGCCAGTCTTCAACCAGGAGCACCACTCTGTGGGAGTCTATTAATGTCAGTTCATTCTGGTCCCTGGACGTGAAGCCTGCCCTGCTCCATCAGCCCTATGCCAGGCCCACTGTTCACAGAGGCAGGCAGGACCTGGCATGTCCTCTGTCTAATGGGGAGAAGCTAGCCACCTGCCCAGCTGGGATCAGACTGGAAAGAGACTGGAAAGAGCAAGGGTCTCACAGGCCAGCATGAAAGTGACCACAGAGCATGCATACAAATTACATGCCAATTGCCAATAAAACTATTTAGGCAGAGCTGGGGGCCACTGGACCCGGCCACACGCTTGCCGCACTTTGGCCACTATGTGTGAAGTGGGGCTTCTGATGGACCTTGGGTTCCTCGCTTCACACCTCAGCCAGCGAGGACAGCACACGCACCCCTGGGTCCAGGGAGGACCCGGCTGCTGCTTTGGGCAGAGTCGGGCCATCTTACCCCTTGCTGCTTGTTGCTTTTACCTGCTGCAGGTTTCCGCTACGTCACCTGCCGGATCCACAACTGCTCTGAGAAAATGCTGCGGGGACCCTTCGGGGGCCCCATCGACGTGGGGTCCTTGATGGTGCAGGACGACTACGTGTTTGTTAAGGTGCCAGCTCCGGGGACTAGAGGAACTGGCTCCTGTGGTCATGGTGATGGGTTGGGGGGGTCCCCTGCAGGCTTCAGTCCTCAGACCCAGAGGCCAAGGGACAGGAAGGGTCACTTGGTGGAAATGACCATTTCAGGTCTGGAAGCAGACGGTGCCTACACTGTGGGTCCTGGGGCCTCTGGACATTGTCTCCGACCTGCCCCTTTCCCAGAAGGCACTGCCCACACACCTCCCAGGAAGCAGGGGCTGGCCTCCATGTCCTCATCTGTAAAACGGGAGTGAATGGTGTGCCAGGAGGCTCCTTCAGTCTGTCTGACAGAAGTGCCAAGATGGGATCTGGACAGCCTCATGCTCTCTGTCACCTCATGGTGTGGTGGTCTTCATCCCTGAGGGCGTTCCCGGCCGCCTCTCCTACCCTGTGGTGACAGTCCCAGAGGGCGTCCCCAGGCATCTGTCACCTCATGGTGACAGTTCTAATCTCTGAGGACATCCCTGGCCGTCTCTCCCATCTCATGGTGTGGTGGGCCTTTTCCCTCAGTGTGGTGGACCTCTCCTCTGAAGGCGTCCCCAGCTGTCTCTCCCACCTCATGGTGTGGTGGCTTGGGACACACTGGCCTCTTGTAAAGCGTGTTGCTCCCCCATTAGGTCACCTCAGCCAACCGGACCAAGTACTATGTCTCCTACCGCCGGCAGGAGTTCACCTTGATGAAGCTGCCCAAGTACGCGCTGCCCAAGGTGAGAGTAGGTGGGGTGGTACTGCTCCCCCAGGGCCAGGAGGGCCAGCAGGGTGCCCGGGGCTTACCGCTGTTGTCGGTGCCCTCCCCTCCTGCCCAGCATGCCCAGCGTCCCTCCTCGGCCCTCAGCCACAGGCCCTGCCTGACTCTCCCCTCTGCCTGCTCTGATGCCCAGAACTCTGGCACCTGTCCCAGGGGAACTACTTCCATGGTTACTACCAGCAGGTAGTCTGGTGGCACAGTGAATTAAGCATTCCACTGCTATCAGAAAGGTCAGAGGTTCAAACCTACCAACTGGCAGGACCTCTGGGGTGTATCCAGTGATGTCCTGACAGCAGGCATGCAGCAGGTGCTCAATCAGTGCACCACCTCTCCCTCCTGGGATGGGAGGGGTGGGACTGGGAGCTGCTGGCCCTGCCAGCCTAGGACCCTGTCCAGTCTCAGACCTGCTCAGCCTCAGACCTGCCCAATCTTGGCCCCTGCCCAGCTTCAACTCTGCCAGCCTCAGACCTGCCCTGCCTCAGTCCCTGCCCAGCCTCGGCCCCTGCCCTGCCTCAGTCCCTGCTCAGCCTCAGTCCCTGTCTAGCCTCAGCCCCTGCTCAGCCTCGGCCCCTGCCCAGCCTCAGTCCACCTGTAAAATCCCAGCCAAGGAGCAGTTTCACTGTCACACAGATTGCTCTAAGCTGAGGTCCACTCCAGAGACCCAGCCTAACAGCTGAGTGAATGAATGAATGAATGAATGAGCGATGACTGAACAAGTGGGTGAATGTCTGAACGAGCGCACTGAGTAGATGGGTGAGAGCGGCCCGGATCCACAAGGTCACCCCCGCTGGAGGGGGAAGGGGGACTGAGGGGCCCCACGCCAGGGGCTGCAGCAGTGGCCCTTTGGCTTCTCAGCGATGTCTCCCAGTTTGGGGGCTCCTGTGTCCTCGTCCTGTGTCCTGGCTCTGGGAGGAAGGCATGTGTCCTGGCCCAAGTACCCCATTCCTTGGCACCCAGAGGTCAGGCCAGTGCCACGCTGTTCCCAGGCATTCTAGGGGTGTGGGCTCACCCACGGTCCCCAGTCATGACCTCTGTGACCCTGAGTGACCTCAGCCCTCACATCACACAAGGAGAGTGTGAGATGGGCGGGAAGTTTCCCCGTGTCCCCCTGTGGCCATTCACAGAGTCCAGTGGCTCAGGAGGCCACAGCAGAGGCCATGTGGAAGTCCTGGTCGGGAGGACAGACAGATGCGTCCTTCATCTGTCTCATCAAGGGGAGGTGGACTGTCCATAGCAGCAGCGCTGGCCACCAACCAAGTGTCTGTGCCTGGGCGTCCAGGGTGGAGGATGGACACCGAGGATGGCCGGAGGGGCAGGTGCTCTCCAGGGCCCCAGACCCCTGGCAGCAGTGTCACAATCCACCGTTTGTCCAGAAGCCTGCCCAGCCAGGGAGACCCTTCCCCCAGCTCTGGAGAACATGCCAGGGCCGCCTGGTTCCCATTTGCAGCATGCAGACCTGCCTGAGTTTCCTAATCAGATTCAGTTGTTTTATGGTGAAATTTGTGACTCCTCCTGGCTACCACCCTGGAGCTGCATCATCTTTCTTTCTTTGTTTGTTTTTTAATTGCCGGAGTAACGTCATTAGCTGAGAGGGAACGTGCCCCAAGCCTCCCTCCTGCCCGCCTGCAGGGTCTGGTCTCCCCACGACCCCCACACTGCACAGGAAGCCCCAGTGTGCACTGAGAGTGAGCACCCTTGCCCTCCCAGGTGCCTGAGCGAGAGTGTGGGGGCCCCCCTGTGCCTACAGGGGCGCTGTGAGTCAGCATCCAGTGAATGGCAGTGAATTTAAGTTACTTCATTTTTTTTCATATTTGTGACATAAATAGCATCATGATAACAAACATCACGTTCCTTTGAATTTCCGTCCATGTGAGCCGACTTTCAGGGCCAGTGGAGACAGCTGTGGGGAAGTCAGGATGTGCTGGGCTGCCTGCTGTCAAAGACCCAGTCAGAGGTGTTACCAAGTGGGTATTCCATGTGGAGACCAGGGTCGCACACGCCGTGCCCCCACGCGGAAGCTGGGCAGTGAGCACAGCAGCCCAAACGGGGCGATGCAGTGGCCGCTGGGCCAGTGGTCAGCTCCACGGACTGACAGGGAAGCCACGGCCCCTGCTTGGAAGAAGCAGCCAGGATTCTGGTTCAGAGCGAGGACGTGAGATGGCCTCACACACTTGGCTGGACGTGTCTTCAGGAGCGGCCAGTGCCTTGGTGGACCTGATGGAGAGCTGATGATAGCGGAAGGCGCCAGACAACCCAGTGGCAGAAGGTCTGGGTGTAACGGAGGTGATGAGGCTGGTACAGGAGTGAGGTGGTGAGGCTGGTACAGGAGTGAGGTGG